AAAATAAAATGCTAACCAAAGACCACTGAAAATATGTGCAGCTTGAGAGTCTTCTTAAAATGGCAATGGAGGTGACACATTTGATTGAGAGAGGATAGCTCTTCCAAATCTTTGGCGGTGCTACTGCAAAGCCATAATCTTTTTCACCCACCAGCCTGGATCATGGAACATATTACAGCAGTTGGTCTGAGGATCTAAGACAAAAGTTTAGAAATATACCCATATAACCATGCATGGCGTTATAAACAACTAAAAGTTTAATTAAAATCAATTCTGATTTTGTATTCTGTATTGAACAAGTAGCCAGGGCAAGGATGCTAATACAATTGTAATGCTTTCCCTTTTTTGGTATCCATTATATCATTATATCAATTATGCCACTAGCTCAGTTATACATAACACAGGTCATGGTACCACTGTTACTCCTCCCATCTATGGCCATTTATTTGCAACAAACAACAAAATAACATGACACAAAAAAAGTCAAGACACAAGTATTTTTTATACAAATGGCAGTGTATTATTTCATAATTACAAATGTCAGATATGGTACAACAACCAGTGATACAACTTGTACAAGAATTAACAATGACTGCAGTGGTTGAACGACATGACTGTACAGATACAAAAAAAAGAAGAAAAATCAAGTCCCAGGCCCAGCTTGAATACCAATAATGCATTTTTCATTCCTCCCTTTCTTGAAATATGTCACTCAACTGACAAATCTGGACAGAAGAATGTGAAAGCCCACAGAACCTCTCAACTTGTATCCCAAAACTAGACTCAAGTGACGTCAAGGAACTGAGGATCTCTCACTTCTAAACTTCGGAGGAAAGGCAGGAGAGAAGGAATGCTTGTTATGTATTCAAACCAGGCCAACTCAGCTGGTCACCTTGTCATTCATAAAGTTGTCCTCAGATACCAGTGAGATATGTTGGCACTAGAAGGTCATCATTTACATATACAAGGAACCTGAAGTATTACAAACTGATACATGCTTGAGTAATAAAACATATGCATTTTTTTTTTTTAAAACAGGCATTACAATGCACTTAGTGCGGACATTCAAAACTGTTGAGCTGTTTAAAGTTCCTCTATGTGAAGGAATTTCTCTCAGAATGGACGGAAGGTTTAAGAGGTTGGAGGAAAAAAAAAAAGGCGGGATGTCAGAAATCAACTTGATAATTGGCACATATAATAAAGGCTGTCAGTCTTTCTTCAGTAAATTCGTCCGATAACAAAACACGTTCAATTTAGCTAATGTTGCTTTTGGTATCATTGGCAAAAAAGTTCAAGACACTTCCTATAGTCATTGTCAAAACACACCATAGTGCAATGAAACCAAACAGAATTTCTTCACTGCGATATGGATGGTATAAGAGTAAAAGATCCTCAAAACAATGACAGAGGCATGGCTGGCAAAACACAGTTTAGTTTCCCTGTGAGAATGAGTGAATATGTGTTAGAGCTTAGTTACATGTTAGAAATACATAATTTACAAGGTTTTTGAGGCTAAAGAGCTAAAAGGCTAAAAATCTACATAGGCAAGCGAAATCAGCTTCAAAATGTGCCTGAGAGCAACAAAAAAATTTTTTGAAGAAAAAAAAATAAAAAGACACTCACAAACTCAAGTGACAATAAGCCAGCGACAGCTAGACGCACACATTTGATTCCTGATAATGGAATGTGCAACAGGGGACACAATTTTTAGCACAAGCCATCTCTCCAAATTGCTTAATTAAATTTGGGACTATATGCGTACCATTTTTTAAAAATGCAGTCAATTCAACTGAGTAATATTCAAGTCCCTACATTATTTTGAACTACTGTATTGACAGAATGCAGACATTGGTTTTCTGTGGAGGGGGGAAAAGAATCAAAATAAATCAATCCATTTAATTGCACAAGGGCAGAGCTAATTTACTTGAATGCATTAGACTGAACAAAGCTGCATTAGCTTACAGTGTAATATACACACACAAAACTAACATGTCCAGATGGGGTATTCACAGCATTAAAAACAGGTGATGGGGAGTAAACAGCAACTGCCTCATAAGCAAAAAAAATTAAAAAAACAACAACAACTCAAAAATGGCTTCAAATGCCTCTGAAATGTGATGAGAATAAACAAATATGGGACATAGTGAATCCTGGATATGCTGTAAATGGGAAATGTACAGAATATGCATTTGTTCGTGATGAGTTAACTCGGAAGGAAACACATCTTCTATAATAAAACAGAAGTGGCCAAGTGTTCTTCGACACACATGATAGTCCATTTCTCACCGTCTACACACATACAAGCAACTGTCATTCCTATGAGAGAACAACATACAGGATTTAAATGGAACAGTTAAAGGAAGTTGTTAATACCAGTAACAAATTGTATCTTTATCACAAACACAGCTGAAGCCACAGGATCTAAATGGAGGTCTACTAGCAGGTACTGTGCTAGCTATGATCAAACAGGCACCGAGGCCAAAGCAGGCTGTATTTTTGACTCAGTTCGGAGGCTAAGAGCTGCTGAAGCAGTGGAAGTTAGTTGGATGCAACAGCAATTTTTATTTATTTTTTTAATCTCAATGAAGCCACAGACAGCTGCAGGTCAGGTCTCCGATACAGTTCCATCACCGCCCTCATCAGTCTCTTTGTTCCAACTCATTCTCCAGTCAACTAGTTGAAGGCTCTCTGAATGTGGGAAGCAAAATTACTAAGACAAATCAAGGGGAGAAAGATTTCCGCTCTGCACATTAAAAAAAAAAAAAGAAAAAAAAAAAGAATAACTATCAGAAAAGGAAGCAAAAGCCAACAACAAAAGCAGATAAAAAAAGGAGGAACGATAAATCAGCCTGAGTGAGTAATGTAACAGACATTTAGTTAACAACTGTGTAGTGGAGTCTGGAAATTAATGTTTGGAGCCTTGTGCAGCTCGTAAAAGATTCCTGGAGAGGTCCGACAATGATCGTTATCAAACATTGTGGGCCTGAACATGGCCTCTCTCGTATTTACTTTGTGTTTTAGGGAGATTTAACTGTTGCACACACTGACTAGAAGATTGTCAGAAATAAACCCTTGTCATCTCTGCTAGAACTGAGTTGGTACAGGCTCCTAGAAGACAGTTTACTACACATGCCATCCAGTCAAGTGCAACCTGGGCTCTTTGAAGAACATGGATCATCCAAGTCAACTTCAAATTTAAAAGTAGGGGCAGGTGAGGAAGGTTAAGCAGCATGGCATCAACACAGCAATGATAGACTGGATTAATTTTCCCCATATCATTTGGATCTACGCACTTCATTCGGATCTAACTGAGCCTCGAGGCGTCAAGAGGCTAAACAAGGGTTAGTTTGGGACCCGGCGGAGCTGATGTGCTAAAAAACCACGTCACATTGGCCAAATCAATGACAAACATACAGCACATACAAAAACAAAAAAGGCCTTTTGCTACATTGAGGGAAAAAAAAGACTACTGGTACTGTGCTTCTTAAAGAAAAAGAAAAAAAAAACTCCCCAAAACACATTATCCATACTCATTCCAAAAGAAAAAAAAAAAAAAAAGGAAATAAAAACGTAATGTATGCATTCAAGTGGTACTTTTATGGCTTTTTGTACAATACAACCTTTAGTGAAAATATACATCTAGACATAAATTCAAGTACAAATGTACAAAATCTTTAAACTCATACTTTTTTCTTTAATTATAATACACTTTTAATACAGCTCATAAATACAGGTCAACATTCACTGAGTTCCTAAGATTTGCGCTCGGTTGGAGTTTGTGGTGAAGTTCTGCGGCGGAGGGGTGCAGGTGGAGGGAGTGGTTTAAAGTCGTGAGGGCTCCTCGATCTCGTCATCACTGTAACCGCTCTTAAAACAGACCTGGGAAAAAGTGAGCATACATCGCTAACGTTAGAAACATTCATCAACGCGCCGTCGTACATGTGCGCGATGGCGTCACATTCTCCTGAAAGTCCAACCTTGAATCAACCACATCAGAAGCAGCATGTCAGGATCAAAGCTGGGGTCCTGCACTCTAATATATAACTGTGGGCAAGTTAGAGGACGGCAAAGTGTAAGATGTGCAATTCAAGCAAGAACATACAGTAGATTTCGTAACTAATATATTATGATGAAATTACACTTTCCATTACAACAATGACTCCCCTGTGTGCAAGGAGAAGAGGCTTGTCTTCTTAGGACTTTGCGCATTGAACCTTAATTTTCGTAGTCAACTTTAATTTGCACTGTGGAAGTTTAAATAAATTTATATATATCTTTTTTACACCTCTTTTATTTTTCTATTGCAATCTATCTAGGATAAAGACAAGTAGAACGGCTATGTGAATCTGTTTTTTTGAGGCACTGACTCTCTTAAAATTGATAGATGATGTTGCATTTTAACTAAACAAAAAAACATATCTTTGACTGTTTTTTTTTTTGGTTAAAAAAACAAAAACAAAAACAGTCAAAGATATGGTTTAAAGAACCCATATTGTGCTTCTTGGGTGTTTCCCTTTCCTTTAGTTAGTATTATATAGCTTTTTCTGTGAGCAAATATCTTTAAAGGGACATATTCTCTCCCACAGAAAACGCTGTTCCTTACCTCCCTGAAACACCTCATCTGAAGTTCAGGGTTTTTTTTCCTGTAACTTGTCTACATCGCTCAGGAACACATGTACAGCTACTTTGCTATGATCTCAAACAACGAATAAGCAGCCTCCTTGCAATACCCCTTAATTTCCTTGATGGAGGTATGCCTTTCTGTCTCTCTATTCTGGGATCTGATGTTACTGTACATGTCAAGTGTTGCCTTGCTTTTGTCAGGCCAGTTCACCAATCAAAGCATAAAATGGAGCATTTCAGTCAGAGGATGAGAAGGTGTTGCAGCAATATGCAATATGAGAAAAATAATGTGTTTTTTTGAACTTTGAAAAGCATGTAAACATATTCTGGTGAACCAAAAGTAATGACAATGTGATTCTGTAAATAGGCACAACATCAGCTCTTTAAGATTCTTTCCCTACAACCCTCACTATTAGGAAAAAGTGGCCTGTATGTAGACACTAATAAAATGCTGAGAAGTGGCAGATGACTCAGTGAACGTATTGTCATGTTTTGAACTCCCAGCTTCTCTCATCTGGATTTTGGTAGAGTGACAGTAGAGGATCACTGTTCAGATTTTGATAAGAAAATCAAAGTAAAGCTGCAAGAGACACAATCCCCTTCCTCCTTCCGGAAAATTACAGCGAAGAACCAAATTCAAGGGAAGTACAGAGTACAATGTAAGATCTCAGTAATAAAGAATAGAGGATAGTGGAAATAACCAGTTAGAGGAGGAAACCTGCTGCAGCCAAGAAGGGTGTTAGAAATAATTATCACCACTGACAAACATTCTGTGTTATGCATTAAAATATTAATGGCAAAGCCTGATATCAGTTCTTCCAAAAACCACAAACCAGTCTCCGTCAAGAAAGGATTCCTAAAGCAAAATTACAAATGCAGAAATAAAAATGCAAAGGGACTAATGAGGGTGTGTACTTCTCAAACGTCAGAGAAAAGGAAAAAAAAAGATAGGCCTTATTCTTACAAACTCAAACTAGGAACAACACAACTGAACCAATCAAATTTCACAGGAGTTCAGGGGTATTTTTTCACATGCTGAGTTTGGACAAGGCCTGGAAGAAAAAAGAAAAAAAAAAAGAAAGGAAGGAAAGTAGGAAGAGAGGAAGTACCTTAGCCCCCACCCCCTCGGACAGTTGCCGGAGCACTAGCACTTGCCTCTCTTCTGAACAGGCGGTAGAAGAAGCCTCTCTTTGGTGGAGGGTTAGGCCGGTTCATGTCCAGGTCGGGGCACAGATTCCCGTCTGTTTCGTAGACGTTGATTTCTTTGAAGCACTCCATCTCGATCATCTGCACAAGAAGATAGATTGAGTTATCCAGCCTTAGACTTTGCATTTCAGAAGTTTGCTTCAACAAAAAGGTCAACGCTCCTCTGCAGGTAGCCGTTTGAGTAACCATCTACGTATTCATGATGTAACTAACTGAATATCTAGATGCATTCACTAACCCGACTTGCAGTTGCATATTATTAGATTTATAAAACACCGCATCTCAGGTCCAGGCTTTTTACTGTTACTTATCTATGTCACTGTGTAACACATTTACAGCTTGTTTGGCACAGTCTCAAAAAAAAGAATAAGCAGCCTCGTCTCAATCCAATTTTATTTCCTTGCTAGGGCTTGCTGCCTCTCTACTTTGAAATCTGAGGTTACTGTACATAACCAATGTTGCCTATCTTTTGTCAGGCCAGTTGAACAATTAGAGCAGGACCTAAACTGGAGTGATTCAGACAAAGAGGAGAAGAGGTGTTGCAGCAGTGTGCAATATGGGAAAAAGATTAAGATAAAAGATAAGACTCTGATTCTGTAAATGAGCATAAAATGGGATCTTTAAGACTCTAAGACCCCTACAGATTTCACTAATAAGAAAAAATGGCCCGTATGTAGCCTGAAAGGCAAAGTGCAGGGCAAAAATACTTGTGGAAATGCTTGGAGGAGGGAGGTGACTCAGTGGACATATTGACATATTATGAACTCCCAGCTTCTCTAATACAGATAATGGAAGATGGATAGTACAGAATCACTTTTTAGATTTTAATAACACCTACATGCCTTCAGAAACTTGACCTGCAATTGCATATTTAGATCTACAACCATTAACTTTTCTCTTAAAGCAATGTACAGATCCTTTATACAGGTTTTCCTATGTGCTGTTTCTGTATATGCTGCAAAACTTAACAATGACATCATCTCGGTGGCCTGTGCACGCAGTACCTCGTTCTGCCACGGGATGGAGACACTGCCTGTGACAAACTTGTGATAGAAGTCATCATCTGTGGGGTCAAGGTTCACGCCTTTGACAGTGGAGAACTGCTCGATGTCCAGGACGTCTTTACAGTACACCGCTCGAGGCTGAAACAGAGAACGAAAACAGAGAAGGAAAGAGATCGACAAGAGAAAGAGGCACAAGTAAATAAGAAGGAAAGAACAACTGAGCAAAGTGAAGTGTTTGGATCGCAGGGGAAAACACTCAACTTGAAATACTTGTATTTTTGCACTGACATTTGAATAACATGGAAATCTTCACAGGCCTGAGGACACTGTGCTGTTCTGTTTTTCTTCAGCGTGGCCCTACTGACCTGAATAACCCAAAATAGAAATGCAGATAACACTATCTGCTTTCAACTATTGATTTAACCTGTCAGGTCAGTCACTCTCTCTCTCACTCACTCTATTTATGACTCTGAAATGCACCGAGTCTCTCTCGGAACAGCTTTGTAATTCCAAGCGAAGAAAATACATTAACACAGCTTACAGTTAAACTGAGTCTGTATTACTCTCCTTATTTGCACATTGAGATTTTTTACAGTGCGACTACATCTATCTGTAGCTCCACGGGAAATATTAGCGATGATTTCCATAAAGTAGAGTGACTTCCCAATGACACTCCCACTTCTCTCCACTGGCTACCACGATAACAAGCTTGTAAGTGTTTGTTTACATGTGACAATGGTATTTCCTGTATACAGATCTGCAGCCCGCCAAGGATTCAGGCTGTGAATTGTGCTGCGAGTTTGCATGTGCAAGTGCAGCTCTTACATCTGGGCTGAAGGGAGGGTCCAGCATGTTGGCCTCCAGCCGTTTGAAGTTTATATTTCTGAAGATGGGGTGCTGCTTGACCTCTATGGCCCCACGACCCTGACATCCCAGCCTTTCCTTGGGGTCCTTGGCCAGGAGCTGCAGGAGAAGAAGGGAAAGAGTTTGAAACAGTCTCTAAAGAGCTGCAAGTTCAAGCTTAAATGACTCAGGCAGGATAATTTAGTGTTTAATATATTTCTCAGTAAAAAGAACATAAACTAGGGCTCAGTTTAAGGCTGTTTCTCTAATAATAAATCACACATAAAGAAGGGGAGGGGGCTTCCTGTGATTCTGGCAGTTTTATGATTAATCCCTCTAGTGAAATGCATACAAAACACACACATGGCTGAGTTTACATGTAATCCTCTTGACTTTATGTACATGACCCTGTATAATCTAATAATACAAATCCATATACTCGGGGGTTAATGCAGCACTATCATGTGTAGAGTTACGGAGCATCTCAGTGAGAACTTCTGGATAATATTACGGCCACACACCACCTACAGTGTAGCAGGCTTATGAAGTGGATGAGGATTGTTTAGTGGTTTGGCTAATAGCAGACGCTCTCGCTGGCCCTGTTGTCACCCTGATGCTGATGGCTTTCACAGTCAACAAACCGACGGCAGCTCACTTTTCACCGCATCTCACACCGACTTTCCAGTTCCTGCTTTGTTTCATTTGTCCTTGCGCAACCCTCATCCAAATTATGTCTACATCAAAAGATTTTCACTCCGCTCTTGACATAACTAACGTCACTTTCCTGATTCGGGCTACGGTAACAGCGATGCCTCTGCATTCTCTCCTTTTCCTTATTATCTTTCTGCCATTTCTTACTGAAACCTTTCTTTTCCCTGCTCCCTCAACTCCTCCTCTCCCTAGGGAGTCTTTAAATCCGCTGAACCATGGGTCAGAATGTTCCACAACGTCACACACCGAAAAAATGTTAAAAAAAAAAAAAAGTCCCGTCACCTCCTGTTCAGAAAGAGAGGAGCTCAGTGGCTCCCTCTTGGAGATTATGTCAGACAGTCGTAAGAAACAACTGATCTCCACAAACGAATCAACATTTATTTATTAATACTAAGAATGCACAATTTTGGACTTTTGTACCCAATATACTGCAATTTTCTTCATATTTTGGATATTTCCTGATATTGATACATGCACATGCATTTTCCACCTAACTGTGGAGAACATCTTGTAGTGAATGAACACATTAACATGCTTGATCTTATCATGATGGCCTTCTGGCAGGTGTAGACATAAATACAATGCTAATTTACATGAATGCTTATTTTGCATTGCATTCACTAAGCAAACAAAGGAAACTACTTCAACTTACATGCAAAACATGCCCTTTTTTTTTGTAGCATCACTGTTTATTTTGGACCAATGTAGATGCTTTATTCGATCAGCTGATCCAATAATGATACCAATATCATCATACATCACTAATTAACACTGAGGGAAATAACACACTATAGATCAGCTCAATGGCTTTTCACAATGCCTTTTTTAGTAAACTATGGTTAAACTTGTGATTTATTTAGACCGCTTTCATCACTTTAAATTCCAACTTTTCCATGTTTAAGATGTAAATAGGCAACATCAGCTTTAGAGGCGATAATGTGTCAATGTTGTGTTCACAGCTTGTTCCACTGCTCCAGCCTGGTGAAACAACAGCCCCTTATTACAGGTTTAAACTTACTTTCTTTAGGGATAAGGTGTATTTAAAGAACACATTTGCATTACAGTTTCCTGTTTCAGTGTAAAATGCAAAAATCTGCTGTATCAAATTTTGGCCTCCTCACAACCTTGAATGGCAGAAGGATGGATATTAGCCAAAATTAGCATCCCGTACAATATGATGATGTTTTCTTGATATAGAATTACAAATTTGCTTTTAAATGATGTCAAATAAATTCAGATTGCCAAGAATATGGTATATTCTTCAGATTCTGCATCTTACAGTAAGAATTTTCAGGAAAAGTGTTTCATTTTAAATTAACCAGAGGCTCCAAATGAACTAAATAATAATTTTAAAAAACTGATGTTAATCTAAAACAGGAAATAATATCATGCTCTTCGCAATGATACAGTGAAAGTGTTTTTTGTAAAACTTCACTCTTCAACTTCTGCTTTTCTTGTAATATTGTGTCTACAAATTGAGTGGCAGAACATAAAAGCTGCTCCTCTATTAAAGACCAAAGCCACTTATATTCATGAAGACAGTAGCTGTAGCAATGCAACCCTGTTTATGTACTTTGAATTTTACACATATTGACCTGAAATCAAATATTATACTGCATTTTTTCCTGCATACTCCTCCCTCCGTGTCCTTATTTTCCACAAGTCTTAAAGAATTTTATTGACTTTCTCTTTTCTTTTCCACCATTCGACTAATCTAACAACCATCTGTCACCTCCGGTTCTCCATCCTCACCTGTCTGCAGATGTCCTTTGCCTCCTCGGAGAATTTATCGGAGTACTCCTCTTGGTCCTCGCGCACTCGTCTGTCCACCTCCTCTCGCTTGACGCGCTCCTTGCGCTTGCGGAAAGGTGACTGGCCCTGGATCATCTCAAAGATCAGGCAGCCCAGCCCCCACCAATCCGGGCTGAAGGTGTAGCTCTCGTTCTGGATCACTTCTGGAGCTGAAGCAGAGGGAAGAGGAGTGAGAGGTGAGGGAAATGACTGAGGGGGTTGAAATCCCAATTTAGGAGACAGTTATTGAAGTGGAGGGAATGATTGAAGTGGTTTGACTAGAAAAATAAGGGGTCAGAAGAGAACATCAGAGGGCTTAAAGGCTAAATTCTTACCCATGTATCCGACAGTGCCCACTCTCCCTCGTATCGTCTCCCCTTCAGGGATCTGAACAGCAAGGCCCAGGTCTGAAATTCGGATGTGTCCTAAAAAAACAAAAGAAAAGAAAAAAAAATGAATAAAGCACCTGAGATAATGTTGAAATGTTCGCTTTTGTAGTAACTTGTAGAAAAATACATTTCTATTCAAGATATCCAGAGTTATGAGAAGCCAACAGAACAAAGGTGAGAGACAGAGTGCCCCAACAATGGTCACATTACACTACATTATACCAAAAGTAGGAAAGAAAGAGAAAAGTAAGAGCTGAAGAGATATGTGGAGGACATTCCTTTATTTCAAAATAAGACCATGTTGGAGAGTAAATGACTCAAGAGGAAAGTGTGGTGTGAAGAACTTGAAAAGATGACTTCTCAGCCAGAGAAAGATGGTGCTTGAACATTACAAATTGAACCGGTTGTTTGTTTTAGACATTGTGAAAAAAGTTACATAAAAAAAAAATAAAAAAATAAAATAACAACTACTATTATCCAGCCTGTGCCCACACAGTAGCACACAACAGGACTAGAATGTAACAAAAAGAAAACAGAATTTGGACATACCACGATCATCCAGAAGGATGTTTTCAGGTTTCAGATCCCTGCAAAAAACAAACATTAAAAATTAAGAAAACATTAGGGAGTAGTTCTTTATATTGTGCTTGTTTAAAAATAGAGCTCATTTGAGAACAAGGATATAACAATTAAAAAAAAAAATCCTGGATAAATATTTGTATTATTGATCAGCTTGTTCTTCTGTTGTCTTTTATTGCCTATGTGCTGTCTGATCTTGAGTTTCTCCAGTCTTTCATGTGATTTAATAGATGGCTGTACATATGTCTTCATTTGCTTTGTGTGTTGTTTTTGTACCAAGCTACATTCAGCATGTTATGATAAGATAAAATAAGCCTTTAATAATCCCACAGTGGGGGAATTTGCAGTGTTACAGCAGCAAAGACAGTGCAAACATTGAAGGAATGTGATATAAAAATAAAAACAAACCAAAATATACATAAGTGCTAACACTAAAAGTAACATTATTGCATGTATTAGTGGTATTGTATGTATGTCTGATGAGTAGAAACTCTGACAAGAGTATTAATATTGCATGGATTGTTTATATTGCACAGATGAACTAAATAGCACATATTCAAGTACATGATGTTGTCCTAGAACATACTGGCGAAGCATTTTAGTATTGTAAAATATTTTTTATTCAACCTGTCTCAAATCTCCTTTACGTCTCACCATTTTAATAAACACATCATCTTTAATTTTTTTTAAAAAAAGCACAACATCAAATTTACTATTTATTATTATCGCTGCAAAATCGGAGAGCTACAGCCCCCAACTACTGCCAACTGCGACGTTTCCTGCAATGCATGCACAGATCAAGTTTATAACCACACGGGCCACGTGTATGTGGGCGCCTGTGTCTCCTCGAAGAACATCAGTGTTTATGTTAGCATTACTCTGAGCCTCCATTGAGCTTGACAGGTGCATTACACCTCAGCGAAACCAGTTCCCCATTAATCCAGTCACACTTCATCATGCAGGACTTTTGTTTCTGCACTCGTCCCACTGTTACACTCCTGCGAAATAAATCTCTTCGTAACGTCAGAGCTGAGACAAATAGTTGGGCATAGAGTTAGTTTATGGATTGTTTCAGACATCATGATTACTGAGGTTTGTCAGTTAGGGATTTGTCTTAAAGTAGTATTCCGCTATTTACTGTCGCACTTTAACAAAGTTAAGGCCAAGACCAAGATGATCAGACTTTAAAAAGCTCTCTCCAGAACCATAAAAGACAGAACACACCTGTTTTTACTGGTGGAGTATTGATTCTAAAGTAAACTGGCTTCTTGTCAGTGGAGTGCTCCTTTAAATGTAGTGGTATTTAGTCAGCTTTAATTGTAGACTGTATTTAAAAGACGGACATATCCTCCTGATCCGAAGTTTTTTAATTTAATTTAATATAACATAAACCAATCAATTACCAAAAATAGCTGGCAATTCATTTAATAGCTGACAAATATTTAAGTTAATCATTACAATAAATAATGGGATTCCAGGACTGATAACTAAAACCCATCCAATATATATTTTGTAACTTAACGATAGTGCGCTTTGCTAGCCAGGCCTCCCCTGAAAACAACTTTTTTTTTTATCTCAAAGGACTTCCTAGTTACAATAAGTTTCAATTAAACAGAAACATCAGCTGTTATTGGCATTACAGATTTGTTGGTATCAGGATTTATTTATGTTGTTTGATGTGCACCTATTAAAAAACTTATCAAACATAATGCAGGAAACAATGCTTGGTGTAATTTAGAATTGGTGTCACTGCATTGTTTGTCCAGCAGAGTGTCTCTATGATTTATAATACTCAGCACTGTCTGCAGCACATGTAGCAGAGCTGAGCAGACTGTGGTGCGGAGGCAAGTCTTCATGGTAAATTGCTAACTAGTTTTTGAAATACACTGATGGAAAGTAAAACAATTAAACACTGACACTATCATTTCCAATTTTCAACATAACTCTAACACACTATATGTATATATGCTGATATTATGCTTGTTTTTCTCCCTTAAAATCCGCATCAGCCCCAAAAAAACCTACTATCTGTGAGGTTCTACTGTAAAACTCACAATATTAGTCCACAGAGACAGAAAAATTCCTAAAGCCTCTATTGTCGACGCAGTAATAACAACATGAATACATTATATAGACGGAAGGTGTTTTTCTTTGCTCGATTCCTCCTGCCTTACCTGTACACTATCCTCTCACGGTGCAGGTCCTCAAGGCCACAGCAGATCTCAGCAGCGTAGAAAATGGCCCTTTGCTCATCAAAGCCTGAGTTGCCCATGTTGTAGATGTGGAACTTTAAGTCACCGCCATTCATTATGGTCAGAACCAGGCACAGCGCATCCTTGGTCTCATAGGCATAAGCTAGACTAACCTGGAGAGGTAGGGTGGGGGAGGGGGGGCAAATTTAAGGTGACAAAAGGAGGTGAGGGTCCAGGCAGGAAGGAAGGATTTGGTGAGAAAGGAGGGAGGAAGAGGGAAGAGAAGTGGTAAGAGACAGAGTGGCTGGAGGAGCATGATTGCTTAATTTGCTTTGTTTAATGCCCCAAATAATCATTCATTATCCCACATGGAACGTCAGGAATGTACACAAAGATAAACAAAGACAGATATCACACATATGGAAAAACATCCTCTCCCTTTAATCCCACCATATATCTCTCTTTTCTCCCCTCATTCCCAGCAGCCTCCACCCCTCCTCTCGTCCCTGTGGGTCAGTGACACATAGTGTATAATGTGTCCATGTGCTGTTGTGTACAAGCAGGATGTTGCTGCCATCAGGAGGAACTCCATCTGCTATGGAGTATGTAGTCAGAGACAGACCACAAGAGGGGATGGGAAATATTCTTATAGGCCAATATATACATGCTGTACCTAAACAAACACACACATATACACTACAGGCCAAAGCAAATAGTCTTTATTGCAGGCCTCCGAAATCCAGTTTATAGTTTAGCAGTGGACGAATCTATTCATCCTGGCACTGCTCAGTGCTGGAATTTCAATAAAATGCACAAACTTTGGGTTTTCCAATAGTCCCCCAAGAACGAAAGAAGCTAGAAGGTAATTACTACAATCAGGCTGTTTAGATTTTTTAATGGTTTATATTTATGCAGCTAGACCTCTCTCTTTTTTTTTTTTTTTTTAAACTTATTTTTACTTATTTATTTACCTATTTTCCCTCTTTTCCTATACCCTCTACATTCCTTAGCCTTAATGGCATCATTTATTTTATTCTCATAACTTAAAGACAGCTATATAATTGTACAAAAAATGTCCACTAATGGCAGACATCTGTTAATTAGAGCTTAATTTCATTTTTTTCTGACAGGCAATACTTTTGCAATATGTTTTGCTAATTATTTTTTAAAGTCAAGCTTCAGTTCAATATTCATTGAGTTATATATTTGGAACATGTGATGCAGAAATACCACAGGAGATATCATCAAATGTGGGAGATTGACACAACAGTTTAAACCTTGGCTCAAGTGCAATACATAATGCTAAATTAATAAAATTGCAGAATTAAAAAATAAAAAATAAAGCCCTTATTCTCTAAAGGTGTGCACATTAGCTTTGCCCCTCTATGGTGTTTGGTTGTCAGAGGTAACAGAAAGCAAGTTTTAATCCTGCTCAAATGTTCTTCAATCATATGTATTTAAATCAAGACTCAAATCACTATTTGCGTAATTCTATGACCAAATAATTTACCTTTATGTTTATATTGAAAAACATATATATATCTTTTTGGAAAAAAACATAACACTTTTAAACCATAAAACCTTGCGGCAGATTTAAAATGCATATTATCTATTAATATTGAAAACCCATTTTGCCCCACTGGCAACACTTGTTGCCAAAGTGTATCACTGTCATTTTCTATTCACAATCAAAAAAATCTCCAAGGAACTAAAGCAATTTTTTCCACTTATATGCTAGTAGACAACAACTAAAACATATTTATAATTATTTAATCATTCAAGTCTCTAGAGTAACCCTCCCCCTAAAAAATTGTACCTGGGACAAGTATTTTTTTTGTTCATGGGCTTATTTCTGTGAGTGTGCAGTGGGCACATAGCTTGTCGCTAACTATATGGGTATTTGAGAATATGTGGGTAGAATATGCAGAATACGTAGGTTATCTATTTCATGTGCATTGCATTTCTGTGACATAGAAATGATTATTTCTGTTCTGTTTTCGATTGGCAGCGTGAATTCGGTGTTTGAAACCTTTCGTTGTTTTGTGTTGGAGATTGTTTTTATATCATACAGACTTGGTCTGAGATGTATATCTGATGCAAAGGTTATTTATGAAAAAAGAAACCAGTTCAAATTGTTTGTTGTTTTGAATTTTACACAGAGGGAACCAAGGTCTGAACCATGATCATTAGCTACCTTCCTGGGATGATAATATCCATTGGTATCCATGTACAGGTTTACATTTTTTTTGTTTTACACCCCCCACCCCTTCCATCTTTTTGTTATTATTTATTATGACTATATTACTATTTTGTTATTACTATATTATTATTATTGTTTCTGTATCATCATTAGGTAACATTTGACCTAGTGACAAGCTGTGTGAATACTGGCAACAATTGTTGTCATAAAAATGTTATTTTCTTCAAAACAAAGTACAAAATGGAAAAAAAATAAAAAAAATAAAAAATACATCACACGATTCAGAGTTACGCAACTGATAAAAGTATATGCCTTACAACTCCGAAAAAAATCTGGGCATAAATGGATTAAAAACCAACCCAGCAAAAATGACAATTTATCAGATCAAGAAAGTGAGAGACATCTAATTTTCAACTTTTGTCAGAAACCCTGACCAAATCCTTGCTTAAAACTGAGATCTTTCATCAAAATCATTTTATTCTACATATCAAACCAAAAAAATGGCAAAAATAAACTACTTGCTCAAACAAAATTTGTAAAAAAGAAAAAAAAGAAAAAAAAAAGAAAAAAAAATCAAAAAATTGTGTTCCTCATTGCAATTACAAAGCAATTAGTGACTCAGCTGCAACCAACAGTCATGTGACATAAATTCAGGGATTTTTAGCTGAATACATCAGCAGTAGTGCAGTATTTTTTCATTGTAACATCTTAACACTTGATGTATTTTGGCATCATAGGTTTGATATGCTGCACAAATGACATGTTTGAGTTCTCTCTACTTCTAGCCATGGTTGTGCTGTTTCCATAGAGGTGCAGGACTTCATATTATAGTGAAAATTGAGCCTACAGTGAGCAAAAACAAAAAAATGCTTTGTGTTTAGAGGGTTAAACTATAAATCGGACTTATTTTGCATGAAAACTTGATCATTTTGGCACCAGTATAAACACAATTTAAAACGACAGTGAGCTAAATCTCCATCCAAGCACAGTGGCTCTACCTCATTCTCAGCTGCTGCAGACTTCAGAGCAGGGTCACCGTGCCCTGTGTGTCAGATACACGTATACACACCCACACACCGAATACATGGATGGGTTACTGGTTAAAACACACGGTAAAGCTAACACTAATAGTATGCACTGAGCACAAAAAGGTACAGAAGAATAGCGAGAGAGAGAGAAATGAGGGGTTTGAGAGAGCACTTGACTCTTCTCCTTGCTACTGCTGTTTGGTCAGTGTTGCTAGGCAACAGAGCTGCTCTCGTAGGTAGAGAGGCACATGAAGAGTCATCAGTTCTGCCTGCAGCACCGACAACGAACACACACACACAGAATCATGTGCCAATCCCAGGTGACAAGAGCTGCAAGTCTGAGGTTCTGTAACGAGCCCACTCCAGCCTGTATACGTGTGTGTGTGTGTGTGTGTGTGTGTGTGTGTGCGTACATGCCCATACACATGCTTCTGCCATGACTCACTGAAAACAAGGATGCGCAACATAGCTCACGCTGCATCAGAAACCAATTAATGCAATACATAGTACGACTGGAACACAACCATTAGATTTAAACGGACGACACTGAGACTCCGAGGCTCTGCTCAGGCACAGTCCAGGTTACTGTACTACAGATCGATATCACAGGTCTGTCACAGTTAAACAGTGACACAGTGTTCCACAGTACACATACATAGTACACAGTGTACACAGACCTACAGAGCAGACATTTACATGCAGTCATTCCTCGCTATGTTCCAAGACTGTTAAATGAGCACTTGCTGTAATTTTGTTGTCTTTGGAACAATCAGTTTTTTTAAGGAAACGCAACGCTGAGCCAAAGCTAAGCTTTCTTTTCCTGCCCGAGTACCTGAGATGTGTTTGTGCGTACAGTTGGATGAAATGGAAAGAGAAGCACACATCACCAGTTTTCCAATTGCGTTTGAGTCCTGATGTCAACACACAGTAGTTAAGCAGCATGAAAACACGAGTATTTCCATTTTTATATTCAAGAAGTGCTGAGAGGAGAATAAAGACAATCAGAGAGACACATCAGGTACATTTGTACAGTTGCACGCAGTACGAGGTAAGAGGAGGGAAGATGGATCATATTGTAAAATGTACAAATGCCAAATCCTGCACCTCATTTTTAGTCTTTTTGTTTCTGTAAGATCGTGAACTGTTCCTATAACACATCATCTCACATGTGAATCATGACAGCTGCAGATTTCTCCCTCAGTGCTTCGGTGCAGCATGGAAGAAATGAAAAGCTAGGTGACTCCCTAAAAAGCCTTCAAGGTTGACAATATCGTGCCAGCCAAAAACCACCGCTTACTCATGACTACGGCTCAATTTATAGAAATCCTCCATAGGAAAATCAGCCAAGAGCAACGCCACCATTAAGAGCTGGAGGCACAGTGGTACAGTGGCAGGGTAATGATTTTCTTTTTTCTTTTTCTTTTTTTCTGGGTTGGCACACGCTCAGAGCAAGGACACTGTACTACTTTATTCCTCATGCAGTTGCTCTGCTGAAATGTAATTTGTGCTTCAAATTTCTATGAAAAATTCACATGTATGACAAATTGCACATATCTAAACACCACAGACCTACGTTTCCACATCTGAACATGACTAATAGCAGTTGTTCCTTGAATTTAGATTACAAGGATTTGGATTACAAGGAAAAGCAGTTTTGATACCATTTCACAATTAAGAGCTTCCAATGCTGTTGTGAAACTGTTTCATATTGTTCCTCTGATTGTTGCTTCCTCAGAACTTCTAGTTCCTTATATTTCATATTTGATTAATACTGTGACAACTGAATTCCAGTCACATGGTAAGGACACAGAAGATTTTTTTAAAAGACACAGTGACTTCATTTTCAGTTGATTGTGTGTAGAATGTGAGAATCTTAAAGTCGTCCATTAGTGGAGTCAAGAAACAGTACCAAGTTAAAAAGAGTGTGATCCAGGTAGGTGTACAGGTGCTCGTCTGTCTCAAATACTCACACAAATATAGAACTATCAATCTGAGCATGCATGCATATGTAGAACACTATCAAGCAAACAGCCAGTAATAACTGACACCATGGAGTAGTAGTTAGTCATTAGGCAGTACAGACCAACACAGGTAGTTTGTGTTCTGAATGATTTCATTCACTTACTAGTGCCGAGCAAATTAAGAAAAAACTGCATTGTGTGCAGAGGCCAAGCTCATCTACTTGGCTAGGTGATGAAAACATAACAACTAATGGTTTCCTGCAGGGATTGTGAAAGCAGCACAAGTTGTCCAACTTTAACAGCTGGCTTTGTAATGCATCTTTCCAGATGCATAACCAATTAAAAAAAACATGTTCAAATGACTAAATGATAAATGCTGGGATGTTTTACTGGCTTTTCACGTTTACTAGTTTAGGTTAGCTATGTAGAAAAAATATTTTCAGTTCAAAGCTTACCAGCAGCTACTGGCAACTTCTAAGGTCAACTGTTTCCTTGCGTGCAACTCAATGCAAGAGTTGATGTTGTGAATCAATCAGTACATCTTGTTAAACCCTAAAGCAGTTTCTGGGAATTTTTGGCTCATTTTTTCGCACTGTGGGCTCAATTTTCACTACAATTTAAAGTCCTCTATCTCTATTGAAACAGCACAACCATGGCGAGAAGCAGCGTGAACTCAAAGATGTCATTTGTGCAGGATATCAGAATTATGATGCCATAAAATGCCATAAAAGTGCCCTAAGGTGGTACTAATACTGGAAAAACAGGTGGCTCTAAATACTATAGATATTTACAACATATATTTTTAAGTTGTTTCAACAGTTTTCTCCTACCTGTTCTATGTGAACACAGCCTGCAATTCAGCCAAAAACTCACAGAATTTTTGATATGCGACTGTTGGACACAGCAGAAAAGTTTTGTTCTTTATAAGGATCTGGTTTGAGAAAATGATTCATTTTGGGCAGATTTTTAAAGGAGACATGTAGAATGAAGTGATTTTGATTGAATATCATATTTTGAAGTTTAGATTTGAAGTTTAATGACACAACGGTGCATGAAAGATAAATACTTTATGAAGTTAAAAATCTGACAATTCTTTCTATTTCTGGCTCTGACAGATGGTGTACATTTGGTGATTTGGGGGTTTTGGGGTTCAGTTTTGGGATTGCATGATATATGTTTTATTGATTATTGGATCTTCAAGCTCTTCAAAGATGTATATGAATTTAAACCACAATATGAGAACTGTAAATATTCTATTTTTCACTTGGAGAAGAATCATTTTGGTGTGCTCTGGCAGCACTACACCTCCGTACATATATTTGAGTTTTAAACACCACAGCATCAACGCAGAAAATCTTCATTAAAAACAGCATTGAAACAACACAGATATCAGTCAAATTTATGAACACATCGACAGATAATCGAAGGCTGCCAATATGCTCCAAACAAAATTAAAACTGGCATGTTTGCAATACAGGAGGTTTGTCCTATTGCTGCAGACCAGCTGGATTTGTCAAAATGTTTGCACATCCTGACTAAGTGCTCCGCAGTTTGCCGTCACCTGCCACTGGTCAATAATATCATGTGCCTCCTCCCCCCCTCGTAGTTTTTATCTCATTGTGTCTCTTTCCACAGTGACTCAGTAGCTCATTAAACAAACAGAAGACGAGCTGCAGCGACTGTCTGTAACAGCTGACTGACAGCCTTTGCAAACATGCCTTTTAAATTTCATTTGCAGGATCCCGGAGCCACAACCAACAATTCTCTCCCAGCATGCATGCACACTCGCTTGCTCACTCATGCACACAGACAGACAAAAACAAGGTACAATTCTGTTGAAAGGTTGAATAAGAAAAAGGTAGTACTTACTACAAAACTACTGTTAACTTTTTCTAAAATGCGTTTTTCGTTTAGTGCCATTGCTTCACCTTTTCTTTTCTTCACTCGTTTCTTTTCCAGCTTTTTACAGGCGTACATCTTACCGGTGGCACGTACTTGGCAGGCACAAACCTGGAAAACAAGCAGCGAGGAAACGTGATCAAACACACATGCACATAAAAAAAAAAAAAAAAAAAAAAGCACACGCTTTAAAAACTATAACTAATGGAAGTTAATATGTCAGAGAACAGATTTCTCCACCCAGCATCACTGGAGATGCAAACATCACTCCATTAGGTAACTCTTAAAGGTTACTTAAGCAGCTTAAATCATTACCCAAAGTTAATAATGAAAATAAACACAACTTTTTAACTACAACTCTAAGCATTATGTCCTGATTGCAGTGACACTTACCTCGCCAAATCCACCTTTTCCAAGTACTCTATAATGTCTGAAGGTATTTTTGGTTACTGGTTGCCTGCAGGGATGGAAAGAGGAATAAGAGATGGAGATACAGACAGAGAGAAAAGATAAAGAGGGACAAAATAGAGAGGAGACATGAAATAACTGATAGTTTATGTCATTCTCACAGACCATGTGAGGTTGCAGACAGAGTAATGGTCTAATATATTATTAATCCACCCTGATGACTGCTGTTTCCACCCTGCTCTGGTTTCCCAGCCATTATGCAAAGCATCATCAATTATTAACCACTCACACAGAAATACTGATTGGCAGAAGCACCTTTGTGTTTTGGTGCAAACACTGCTCCCTGTACTCGTCTGTATGTACGATAATGTTTACTTCTTGTTGTTGTAAGTATTTCTTTTGCCATTTTTATTAGCTGTTTTCACTGCCAGTAGTTTAAAAGCGAGAGCGCTGCCCTGAGCAAACACGCAGAGTGAAGGCCGAACAGGGAATATTCAATGCATATAAGCTCACAGGTGTCAGCTTTATGTAAGAAAACAGAACGGTTTTGCATGTTTGCTTTACTAAGAGTGTGTAATCTGCAGTGACTACCCACCTCTCCAACCATTTCCACTGCAGGAAGCGAGAGAAGTACATGGACTCCTGGTAGGAGGAAAATGGAGCTCCACTCAGATAATCACGAACTATTCTGTAGGGAGGGAGGGAGAAAGAGCGATGGTGATCATTTTAATAACATAATAAAGATGGAACAATGTACATGTCACGTGTGCCACAAAAGAATTTTTTAAAATACACAAGCGCATGCAGGATTTTTAGCCTGGGCTTCCCCCTTCACAGAATGCCTTTTAACCCTTTACAATACCTACAAAATACATACTTTAAATTGACCACCGCCTGAATTACATTTGTTTTAGCACATCTGTGAGTTTGCATGTGTGTGTGTGTGTTTGGTCATTGCTGGCTTTGCTACTGTTCAAAGCCACTCACAGTGGAAAGACGGAAAGAAGTCGGTGCCGATACACCGCCGTGAAAAATGAAAAATGCTTTTGAACAGAGACATTCCACTCAGCTTGACCAGAAAGCAGGAGATTTTGGGGAAAGCGTGTTTTTTTTTTTTGTTTTTGTTTTTTTTACAGAGCGGAACATCTAATCTCACCTTGCCCAGCACGTGAAAGTGGGTGTGAGTCTTTCCAAATCTATCCGATTATATCATATACACAGACAAAAACACCCACAAAAACTCATTTCTCTGCGGGGTCGTGAAAGGGCACAGTGTCCTGACCGCACGTCAAGCGTCAGTCCACTGAGAGTTGTTAGAACATGACTCTTTGACATGTCAGCCTCATATATTAGGGTCCTTTTTATCTGCTCTCACCACAGATGTTGTTTGACTTAAACACTGTGTTCTCCTTTAACACCCGCGTACCAAACAGTCACAAGCTGAACTACCAGATTTACAGTTTTTTCAAGGTTTGAGATTTAAACAATAAAAAAATAAAAATGAGTACAAGTCAGTAAACATGATGTGGTTACCATAGCACCTTAAAAATCTACTGTCCTTGCTTTTTTCTTTTTTCAGATAACACATGTAACCAGACAGTAAGGTCAGATGCCAGATGAGTCGGTTCAGCGGCTTCTTTACTGTCATCCTGCTGTGTGAATGCATCAAGAGGAAGCTTAAAGGCGCAGTACGCAATTCTAATCCAATCCTTTTAGTCAAATTCATGGTCTGCTAGCTGTTTGTTCCATTGGTTCTGTAAATGGAAAACAAAGAAAGCAGCTCAGACTGATCCACACAACACTATTCCTGCGTCTTCTAAATATCAACTCTGTTTCTCCAGAATGTCAGAATCTACCTTTAACTGGTCACATAATAATGTGGACATTTTAATATTGTTAAATTGTACTAATTGCATTGTCCATTAAAGATGTATTGTAGCAATCAACAACAGTATGGTTACAACACAAGAATAAGTTAACAGTTGAGCCATTGGCTTTAACAATCCTATTAAGATCCCAAAGAAAACTTCTTTCAGTACCCCTGTAGCTTGATCTCATTACTCTACAGCTCCTTTCAGACTTGCACTCCTTTCCGTGAATGTCTCAACTTCATGTCTGAATCAGCATCCTACTCATTTTTCAGTTGAAGTTGCGACAACAATCTCACTCGGTTGGTAAGATTAGCCAGTAAACTATACTCGGTTGGCAAAGTGACATTCTCGTATTAATTTCATCACATCTTAAATCTGAACTGCATGCAGTTGCATCACCTCATAAACACGCACAAGATCACAACATATTTTAAGTTTTATGAAGCGATTTGGCAAAGGCAGCACCAATATCGGTCCAAAAACATTACACAAAGCTCAAAAGACAGTTTGTAGCCATAAACATGAAACACCTTTCTCATTTACTTTGCCCTTCTATTTCGCATCTATAAAAAACTGAAATGTCCATAAAAGTGAAGCTTCACTGAACTGAAAACAGACACAACAGGTCAGATTAATGACAATTACAAAGCATTAACGGGAGCTAAAGTGCAGTTTGTCGCTTCCAGTTGTTTGTGAGTCTTTCCTCTGAGTTTATTAAATACCTGCAGCATCAAACAGCAGCAGGATCCATTTGAGCGTCTCCAGAGTTGCACACATTTACTCACGTCGCACAGCAGGTCAACATTACTAATTACTTAGAATTATAAATAATCCCTAATATGGAGGCAGGATCAATTAGGATCAAATGTTCCTTCACCTCAGACAGATGAGCTGTCACAGAGTCACAGTTTATCAGTTGAGGTTAAATCACTCAGGTTGAGTCCTGAGCTCCATCAGTGTTGTCAGGATATTTTTATTTTTACTATTGGTAAAGTAGTAGTTAGGCTATCATCATACACAGATGGGGGTTGTTAGTGCTGAGAAAAATCATAAATAAACTGCACTTTTAGTTATTTAGACATAGTTTAGAAATAGTCCGTTGTTTATTAGTGCATAATTATGAGTTATACATAAAGTCATGTACTATCTATTTCACATGTATGACAATTATAATAAAAATGACCCATGTCTGAATGACAGATTCCGACAATTCAACAGATTTATGAAACCAGCAATGTTACATATCCTACGTCTGATGAGGAATTAAGGAAAAGGGATTTAAAACCTGGAAGCAGTTGGGGATTCGCTCAACTCTACACCTCAACATACTGCAAAATTATCAGACGCGGGACCACGGAAAGTTTCTAAGAGTTAAGAGAACTGCAATCATCTCCGATGCAGAACCCTTGTGAGGTAAGCTGGGCTATTCCTGAACAAATAATAAACATCGTGCTGGCACTGCTTTGACGACTGCCGACCAGCGTAATCACCATCCCCTCTACCGGCTGACAACACGCGACTACAAACCAAAGTTACAGCAGATGTTCCTTTCCTCTAGCACCCAAATGTTCGAAGAGATGCACATATTTGGCCTGGAGATTTTCCCTGACCATATTTTAAAATTACTTCATCACTAAGGAGGACGAGGAAAAGCTGCCTGTGGTTACCAACAGCGCTGGAGTAGCTGTTCTTGGCAAAAGGCTCGAGAGTCGAGAATTTCCACAAGGGAAGCACCCTCTGCTGTGTAAAAGAAGAGTTATGTCATTATGGGACCCGGTTGCTCTCTACATGAGATGAATGACCATCTATCCTGATAAAATCTCAGCTCTTTGCAGAAGGAGTGTAGCGTCAACAGGATTTTGTCAATCTGTCCTTTGTTGTTTCTGAGCATAGAGGAGTTTGCACTAAAATCATGTACATCAAACTTCTAATAACAGTAATTAAAGTCCCCTGTAAACTGCCATTTTCCCTCCATACAAAGAATACCTTTGTTTTTATTTAAGTATTAAGAGCAGCATACTTTTCCCTCCGTATCAAATTCTTACTTAGTTCTGTCATTAAAGAAAGGAATGGCGAAATAATGAAATAATATTGAAAATAAGGTTCAGATTCTCATCCATGTTCAATTATCAGATCAACGGGTTTCAAAGATGCTTCAGGAAGGCAGGAGCCAAGCAGTGCCTGGCGTGGAGCAGAGCGGCAGATAGACATCACTGGAAGTAGAAATAAAGCCAGCTACAATATGGCTTTTGTTACACAAAGGGAGCGAGAGAGGAAAAGAAAGGGGAAAGAAAAATCAGCTAGAGAGACCTTTTGTCAAGACCGGCGCTGCACAAAACACCACGATACACAGAAACCAAAAAGGGCCACGCTCTACTCTTACTATGACATAACCGTATGTTCCACTGCAGCACAAGAAAATCCATGAGTGAGCTAATACATTTCTGTTGGTGGGAGTGCAGCTCTGCCAAAAGTCACGTTTCCACGTGCAGCACCATGCTTTCCTACAGGCTTTCCCCTCCGAGAAAAAAGAAAGTGAGTAAGCCCTCGGTCAGAATTACACATCGGAATAAAAAGAATTAAATAACATTAAAATTGCATGACGGAATAATAAAAATAAAAAATGATAGTGGAAGGAAGGAGTGATGACCAAACTTGGACAGGAATCCCATTGAAAAACATCTGCAAGGCTGCAACACGTGCCTGCGCAGCTGTGTTTTCGCCGTTTCTCGCTTTTACGCTCTCTTTCCATATTCTCTCCTCAGTTTTTCCCAAATTCTCCTTTCATTACTCTCTGTGGATTACCCCCTCCTCCCCCCCATGCTGTGCTTTCTGCTGGCATATCACTTCTTCGCTTGCTCAGTTTTTAATCCAGTCAAGAAATCTGAATGGAGCAGATGGTGTGCTTCCCACATCGACAAAGTGTGGAGCATAATGTCATGGTCTTCCTCTCTGTCGCAGCACTTCCCTGCCCTCCTCGGCGCCCTTTTCGGTGTTAAAATAGAGACGCATGCAGAAGGGAAGGAAACCGACCCAACGGACCGTGACCTGAGATGTCAAACGGAGGGGGACAGGTGTGTGTGTGTGTTGTGCTCATCTTAACCACAACCCCTTTCCAGTTTCATGCAAACACAAACCACATTGCCCTACTCAGCCTCCTTCGACCGCTGTCTCTTTCCTTCTCACACACACCTCCTGCTGTGCCTCTGCACTGCTCACTTTGTTTCTCAGCCTCGAGCGAATCTTCCCAACACATGGAAAATTAAAATATGTGAACAAGCTTAAGATAAACTCTGGGAAACTTCAGAGAAAAATGCAACGCTGCCTCGCAAACGTCTGACAAACGATTCATCTGTCCCTCACAGCCACTAGAACTCGTGAACTAAAGCTTCTGAGCCATATGGGTTATTGATTTTATACGTCCAACAGCTCTCTGGATGTGTTTTGCCAAAAACAAGAGTGCAAGCTGAGGACACAACTGAGTGTTTTCCCGACTATGATTCCCACTTCTCCCTTGTTCCTTCTCAGAGATTCCGGTATTCCCCGCGGAGGCTCAAGTGAATCAGAGGTTGGTCACAGCGTTTCCAGACCAAATCCGTCTGCCTGTGTGGCTGCAAGCTGAGACTTCGCAGAAATTCAGCTTTTTCCAGGACTGAGGAAACATGGGCCTGTTTTTATTGAAGCCGACTGATTTATAGAGTGCTGTGTTGTACATCTTGTACGTTCACCTGATATATTTATGTCATATGTTCTCCTTCTGTGGTTGTAGGGTAATGCTATACAGATCCTGGATAATCATTTCGGCAAAATAAATCAAAATCCACTGTGTGGCACAGCAACTTCCCAGGAGGGATGGTAAAGGAGAGTTGTGAAAAACTAGTTCCAAAACTTAGAGCACAGTTATCCCCCAATAGCAGCAACCCACAACAACAATAAGAATGAAAATATCTGCCAATATCCAGAGTCAGAACCCTGAGTTACATGTCACATCTGTCAATTCACTGATCATTTTTTCACACAACTCAGAAGCATCTTCTTTAAAAGTATTTTGGTGTATTCTTGTCTGTTAAACTGACTTTTCATGCAGGTTTTATCCTCTTGATGCTTATTCCATTGTTAGACATTTGCTGGTTTAGATTGTTACCGGTGTTGAGGCCGTCACTCCAACAAAGTAATGTATTACACATTCAATTTAGTTTTTTAAGAAAGTATTTTAGTACTTTACTTCCTTACTCTCTGTGGTTACATTACTTTTGTGTTACTGCACAACATCTACTGTGATGCACTGTCACATAATTACTGGAAACAACATCATGTGAAACCTAAATAAGACAACATATCACAAATGCAAATCATAATAAGAAGGATATATTCAAGGCCACTTCCTGTAACTACAAAGCAGATAGATTTGTTGGTGGAAACCATTTCACAGAAAAGCGTCACAGCAAGAACATAGCTCAATTGTGTGTCTAAAAAAATCACGGTGACAGTGACAGTAGGATATACCGCTTCAGAATCAACGGAGTAAATGTAACATAATTAGTGAATTTAATAACAGTGATGCATTACAATACTGCAGTAATGTGATTACAGTTACCCCTAAAACTGCCGCCAGCCTATTCAAGCACAGCCAACGGTGATGTAAAGACAGTAAACTAAATATTTTTAGTCTCTGGCCAACTTTAATTTACTCACATCACAGTTAAACAGTCCAATGATACATGCTCATAGGATCCATCATTTCTACGCTTCCCATTCACTGTCTATGTAAGCATAAAATTAAGCACTAGGCTACTTTATGCAAATCGGAGGCACCAGATCTCCACTTTTCCACTTTTTAAACTAACTGTTGCTGATCTCAAATGAAGACAAAATCATCAACTTGCATGGCTTATTTCACTCTGCAGATGTTTGCAGAAGCACATCCTGGTGAACTGTTTTCATTATAGGACAGAACATTTACAAACAAGCCTCAACGTTGGTCCGGTTTGATATCCGGAAGCCTACAAGTGAAGTGTTCATCTGATAGGGTGCAGGCAGTTTTCACACAGATGTTGGAGAATGCAGCCTGGATCAGAGAACGTGTCAATCATGTACGCCCATCGTGCAATTGCGATTCCTAAACTGGATTATATTTTGTGTATCCCAGTCCCCTGGCTGTTCCAATTTGTTTTGCTTTTGTCCTGTGTTACTTGTGTCATGTTTGATTTTATAATACTTGTAACATTATGTATTATATTGGTATTCAATTCTGCCACGAAAAGGAGATTTTTCTTCCTGGTTAAATAAAGCTTCAAAAAAAACACTGGGACGCGGTGCAACCCTTCACGTCCCAGAACGCCTTTGTGGACACATTCCATAAATCTACTTTAATTAATCTGAGAGCGAACACAAGAACCAGTGACATCTAACAAAGAACTTCAGCTAATCAATCAGCACACGGACCGGTGGCAGGCAGTCAGAGTAATTAACAGCTGAAACTTTAATTAATCAAAAACAGCACAGCAGAGAAGAAGGAAGTATAATGCACCGACACTTTAAAATAATTATGATTGCATTTGTCGTTCCATTTCACTGTATATCATGCAGCCGCAGTTGAAGGGCAGCAGAAACCGACTGTGACAGAGTTAAATCATCGGGGTAATACAAAGTTACGTGGAGGCCCGCGCATGTGTGTGCATATGTGCAATGAGAAGTACATTTGGGGGTAATAATCCCAGGTCTGTTTGCTTCTCCTGGCTCTCAGTGCAGGAAGCAGAAACACCTGCACGAGCGTGTGTGTGTGTGTGTGTGTGTGTGTGTGTGTGTGTGTGTGTTTGTAAACCTGTGTTTGTGTGTGTGTGGGGAACACTGAGGTGGCTGTTGTTTTCATGCCAAGCATCCGGATGCTCTCTCTGCCCACTGCTCTTTTTCACTCGCCTCCACTGTGCATGCATGCATGTGTTTATGTGTGTGTGTAGTACTCCATTCCAGGTGCCAGCTGCCTCATCACGACCAGTGACAGGGCGGACCAGTCTACAAACACACATTTACTTTCTGAAGGAACAAGATTGTATTGGTGCCACTGCACTCTGACAGCCAGACTCAATCATAAATTTAAAATAAATAAAATAAAACAACTCAGTCTATAGGCTCTGCGTTAATGTTTCACTGACCGTCTGCAACTAGTTCCAGCAGGTTGGATTTAAAGACTTACTTGGTGCAATCATTGAAGAGCTCCTTACACGGACTCTGCTCCAACCTCTCCCGGCACCCGGCGACGACATCCTGGGGAATGTCAGGCAGATGGGCTGCCGACTTGAGAGTTAAAGAGACACAGAAACGGAGTGTGAGGCAGACAGACGAAGAGAGAGAGAGCGGTGGAATATGGCTGTAGACTGTCAGAGATCATTAAACAGATCAAAACCAGAGTCAGAACTCATCTATTTCTGCCTCTGAACCGCTGCGGTCTTGCCTGGACTGTCACACTTTACCTGTTCGGACTGGTTCTAACACAAACTTTCATTGAAGTTGTGAGAATGTTAGCTCCACAGAGCACCAAAGGACTGGAAGCTTAAAAATAAACATTTTGGTGTTCCTCTTCCTTGCAATACCTTGCTTGGCTCCTTTATTGTTTAGAGTCACTACATCTCAAATGATCCCATTTTTAGAACAATTTCAGCTTGACCATCTCTGATTTGCCTACATTTTTATAGCATAAAATATGGATATTTATGAAGATATTTATGACTTTTTTCCTTGACATATCAAATAGTTGCCAAAATAAAAATCTTTTAAAGATTTCCAGTCAACCCTATTAAAGATTAAAGCCTGACATGTTATTTCTCATTATGTCATTGATTTAGAATCTAAAATATTAGCCAAGTAGATCAATTAATCTCTGATTGTGGGTGAGCTGGAATCTGAAATATATGGACGCTGTCATGAAAAGTCTATCTTTGAGCACATTATTTTCAAATTATTTAAAAAAAAAAAAAAGACATAAAAGTGATGTCTTCTTAACCCCATGTAGTTGAATGTCACAATAACAAAAAACAAAACATATAGAATATTTTTAATATGAACTATGTAGGCTTTGTGGGAATATTCGTCATTTTTAGACCCCACTTTGTAGGTATTAACCTTGCTTTGGAGGAGACTCGTCATGTAGTTTTGTATATTTTCTTAGGAATTATCCCTGCATTAGGTCATTCAGATGACATCAGCGTAATATAAACAAATTCATAAATCTGTTGGGATCGTGGGATTTTTCTTGTGGGAAATGTTCATGCCTTGACATATATTTAATGGTAATCTGATGTACTCATGTGAGAATAACTTCAGTGGTAAACATATTTTCATCATGATCATTGTGGAAACTGTCTAATAGAATTAAAACGGAATTTCTTGTTTTTTGTTCCATTGGGATTAAACTTCAAGACCAAAGTCACAAGTGTGAGTACACGTATATTTATAGTAACTGCTGAGGAGTTTACCTTAAAGCATATCTTCCTTCTAGAATATGAATTCATTAAGTGTAATAAACAAGGTAACAATTCACTGTGTTTCTCCAGCCAGAGTCCAAAAATGAAAAATATGCCTATATTACCAATATATTATACCAATATATTTTGGAGAACTATTTTGCAATTCTACATCTTATTTCTTCTTGTATTAGGCTGTCTAACAATATTTTAGTTTTTGTGGTAAAACTTGTCAAATCTTCTCAATCGGTTATGAAAGTTCAACAAAAATAACTTTTTTAAAATTATTATTATGACCAAGTATTTCATGTCATAAAGCATTCATCAAGTTTGGTTTTTTTAATTATTTTTTTTATTGTGACATGCAGCTAGACACGTTTCAGAAAATATCACTTCTGCATTATCATTTTTTTTTTTTGTTATGTGAGCTCAAAGGAACGACTTTTCATGACTGTATTTTTTTTCCAACTCACCCACAATCAGAGACAATTGAATCTATTTATCTAATATTGCAGATTCTGAATCAACGACATGGTGACAAATAACAGTGAAAATTTCAGGCTTTTATCTTTAATAGGTCCTGAGAAACTGTCATACACACACGGCATCACATGTCAATATGCGAAGAAAAAAAAAGTGCAGAAATTTATCTTTAAAAGCATTTGATATATTAAGCTAAAATGTTTTAAATCCATACTTTACGATAAAAAAAGAAACAAATCAGAGATGGTCAAGCAAAAATCTTCTGATGATTGAAGATGGAATAACCCTATAGCTCTGTATGCATCATTCTTTTTATGATAAATGACGTCCATTTAAAGCCTCAAACAATTATGCTCATTAATCAGTTAAGAGAAACACAACAAGGGTGTAAACACGTCACATACTCAAGTAACCCATAACACAGGTGTTATACATTATTGGTTTTATATCATGGATAAAGTCCATCTCAAATCCTAGATGATACATCACTGAATCACTAAATATGTTGTTAGAATTTCATTAAAGTCATAACAAAAGTAAGCAAAGCAATAAACCCATGTAGCTAACTGACACTTTTTAATGGATTTAAGAAAATTCAATGAGGTGATCATTAACTGGAATATCTAACATGCCTTCCTTCATATTATCTCAGAATAATACCAAAATAAATTATGACCATGTCAGTCAGCTCTGTAATAAAGGAAGCATGTTTGTGCTTCTTACCCCGTTATTAAAGTATGTGTCTAAAACATTCAATCCATTGTCCCTCCTCTTCTCATCAGGAGCTAGCTGGTACATGGCCTACGAGAGAAAAACACAAGAGTGAGCAACCGCACCAGGCCATGCCCATTCAGCCATCTTTAAAACCTCTCCAAATAAGGTCAGAGGGAGATGGGTACCAGAAGGCTGACACAAAGAGGAAGACGCAGACAGAAGGGTGGTGGGTTAATAAGAAACCAAAGAGAGAAAAAAAAATAGTGATTATAGCGGCGTCAAATCATCTCATCCTATTCTGGCAACCATGTTCTTCCCCAAGCTTCACCCGTTGTTACGTGTGTCCCCATTGCACTATCACAGATAGTTTTTTTTTTGGTCAAATATGGCTGAGTGCAAGGGAGATGGTCGGAAGTTTGACTGCTTCAAGTCATGTGTTTCGTTTGAAAACAAGCTCTGCAGAGAGAAATGGAACCAAGCAGTGCAACTCGGCATCCCAGCTTTAACACGAAGTCCTCAGAGAGTGTGGGGGGGGGAATTAGCGGTACATGTTCAGCGCTAAAAGGCTCCTCATTATATTTTGTGCAAATTTTTTTTTTGTATGTGTGTGTGTGTTTGTGTGTGTGTGACTACTGGTACATGTATGTACATGTCTGTCTGCCCACCTTGAAAAACACTAATGTAGGTTCTCATTAAATAAGCATGATTCTCCCCTGTTTTCCTTTCTCGCATACCACCAGGGGCCGAGACACAAGCTTGGGCCTGTGTTCGCCTGCTCACCCAGGGGACCTGCCTCTGACGTGGGCTTGACCTCATGGAGGAGTGCATGGAGGAAGAGGAGGGGTCTGCTCCCTGACAGCCTGTCTAAGTCGCTAATCACCCCCTACGCCCTCCTCACACGGCTGCCAAGAGCAGGCTGAGGACTTTCTGCTGACTTTCCTCTCCCTTTCCTTGTCCTGCAGGGCCCGATACAGGCTGATCTCATCGGAGAGATCGCAGACAGATGGAGAAAATGAGAAAGACAGCGACAGAAACGAAGAAAGGAGAGGGAAGAAGGTTCTGAGATAGAACGATAGCTATGAGAACATAACAAGATTAGACAGTGTAATCTAACAGGCTCGAATACAAAAGTCTTACCACAGCATCCATAAACTCGATGCAGCGCTTCAGCTCTGGCCTTGTGTCACAGTACTGACGGAATAACAGCCGACCAATGGGCTGCTTCTCACATAGGCTGGTGTAGTCTCTCTCTGAGGAGAGACAAGGGAAGGGAGACAGAAAGAGAAACGTTACTCCACACTGGACATAACAATGACGACAACAGTGACTCCCAAACTGGGATTTGAGACCAGAGCTGTGGTTCTGAGGGGTCATGAGATGATTACCTGAGGAGGGAATAGTTATTGATGTAATTTAGCATCAAAAACTGCCACTTCTTTCCTGACCTTGTTAGAAACCTAACCCTAAAACCTAACCCTAACCCTAAGCCTGAAACAAGTCAAACTTTACAGCGGTTGCCATTGTCTAAAACTGTAGCACTGACTGCAGCTGAGCAAATGACTGGAGCCAAAAATGTCCGACACCAACAGTTACTTAAGAAAAACACATGACTGCTTTGATGCACTGATTAAACCAACTTACTGCAGCATTGTTCCAGTCATATTTTTGTTCACTGAGGTTCTGTTTTTACCGAAAAATAAAGTCTGTAGAAAGTCAAATTTCTGTTATAATTTATTTTACACGAAAAGAAAATACCTGGAATCAACATCCATTATCTATACACCGCTTAGTCCTCACTAGGGTTCCAAGGGAGCTGGAGTCTATCCCAGCTGACTTAGGGTGAAGGCAGGGGACACCCTGGACAGGTCGCCAGTCTATCACAGGGCTACACTTAGAGACAGACAACCAAGCACACTCACATTCACACCTACGGACAATTTAGAATCACCAATTAACCTCTACATGTTTTTGGATTGTGTGGGAGGAAGCCGGAGAACCAGGAGAGAACCCACGCTGCATGGGGAGAACATGCAAACTCCATGCAGAAAGGTCACCGGGACGCGAATCAGCAACCTTCTTGCTGCGAGGCAACAGTGCTAACCACTGCGCCACCTTGCAGCCCCTTGGAATCAACATGAAGAATATTTTTACAAGTGCCCACAGGTGTAACGAATACTGGAAAAAATGGCGGCTCATAAATACACGCCCTGCTCTGTGGAAACACAGCCTGCAGTTCAGCCAAAAAGTCCCTACATTTGGGTCACATGACTGTTGGTCATCGCTGAGTAACTGACAGCTACTCAGTTGCAACGAGGAGCAGCATATTCTTTGTTTTGTTTTGTTTTTTTTAACAAAATCTGGTAACAGCAAAGAATTTATTTCTGGTGAATTCTGAACGAATACCTGTAGAATTTTTTTTTAAAAACTATTTTGCTGAAATATCACAATTTCAAGGATATATTTGGGTAATTTTCCGGATGGAATTACACATCACACATGATACATTGATGGAGCATCAGAATATTAAAAATCCAATGATTATTTTTGTTTTTGCAGTTTCTGGTTCTAATAAATCGTCTAAGTTTGGCGTTCTAGAGAAATAACATGTCAAACCTGCTGGAGGGTTTTAAGGGTTCGGAAGGTTGAAGAAAACTATAAACTTCCTTCTGCTACATATTCTAAAAATGAAAAAAACATCTGAATCTCCATTTTCTAATTGTGTGTTAACATGTTTTTTGTGTGTGTGTTTGTCCTCTGCAGCTGGCCCCAGCCTATTAGCACTAATGGTGTCCATTTGAGTCATATTTCCTCTTGCAGCAAATGAGGAAGAGGACCCAGGACGTTTTCCATCACTGGCTGACAGTGAGGACACGCATGCATGCACGCAACACAAACATACAAACAAAAATAGGCCACACACATTCACACACACACACATGCGCACTCGAGGAGGGATCGAGGAGGAGAAGGAGGGATGCTTGGGATGAAAATTTCTGAGTGGTGACAGCTACAGGACAACCTCCAACAGTAAATCAAATCTTCACAACAGCCCTCCCAGCTGCACTGTTTATTACACAGCGTTCCCCCTCCGCTCTGCAGCTCCTCATTCAAACTCACCACTTATACGACCGCAGAACCCAACTTATCTCTTTGGTCAGCAAACAGAAGAGTGTAGAGATATGATATTTTTATTACTTCCCTTTCCACTGAGGCCGCTGTGTTTTAAATCCGAACAACAGAAGCCCTTTCAGAAAAGAGAAGCCTTTAACTGCACTGCATCGGACTCGCCTTCCGAGTTCGCCTTTCATCTTCGATCGCCAGCTTTTCAGAGGCCTGCTTTGGTGTTTCCTCTATCAGCTGTGTTCAGCTTGTGTGCAGAAGCAGGGAAAGCCCCTCACGCTCGCAGCTGATGAAGGCAATTTTAGAGGAAAAATATTTGGAGCAGTTTATTTGAACTCTGGAGTATTTTTCTCCTTTTGCGTGACCATCTGTTCAGGTCAGAACAATGGTGTATAATCAAACAGCTGTGTCACAATGCCTGAAAAATGCGAATCCCTCTCTACTTCCATGCAAACAAATGTGTCCCGCGAATCGTAACACTGTCCAATAAAGACGCTACTCGTGAGAACTTCTGTTCATGAGCTGGTTTGTTTGCAACTGAGCAATACGAACCTACAGGCCAAATTCAACAGAGTCAACTTTTCCATGCTGGTTTAGAAGAAAATGACCTTTGAATACTGTTGTAGAGTAGTTTAAATCATTAGCTTTTGCTCTTCGGCAGCTAGAGATTACTACCATTTTCACCATTGTCATTGATTTAAAGTAATACAGTGCATACTGTGTAATCTTGGAAACTCTCAAGTGAGTAATTTGCACATTCCTGTAAATATGTTTGTTACTTTCATCATTTTTATAATACCTTTGATTTGCTTTTTAATTCCTCTTACGTGAAAACCTACTTGGCAATAAAAGCTATTCTGATCCTGTGCTACTGTATGTCTCTACAAGTTTAAAGACAATGGCTTGATACTCCAGTTAACAATGAACCTCTTGATTACGTCTCAGTCTTGCTCAAGAACTGGTTTTGCCGTGAAGATTTCAGTAGAGCCTGATGACGACTGCATTAGCCAGTCACAGATGCATCGGTATCAGGGTATATGGCATCCCATATGAAAACTTTCCTCTTTTACCACACTATAATGCAGGAAAAAACACTTTGAGTAATTTACAAATGCTGTCGTGACAGTCTGACATCACTCTCAGCACTGCCTGCAGCACATGTAGCAGAGTGAACATCACAGCTATGGGTGCTCCGATCCACAGGGAATCTGTCAATATCCACCTGATACTCATTCCAAATACTTTCATGTATGGTCTCTACAAAAAGGCCTATCAGAGGAGCCAATCAGACGACACAAAACTCGTGAGATGGGTTTGAAACTAGCAGGGCGGGTTCCAAGAAAATATGTCGTGGAGGAGAGCAACCAAAACATTCCCACACCGCAAACCTCATTAGACATTCTAAGGTTAGTTACATAAAGGAAAACGAAACATTTTCAAAGACAGCTAGCACTGAGGCAGCAGGACCATTTAGCAACTCAAGCACTACTAACTCAGCTGCCAGTGTTTTTGTTTCTTGCTGTACGCTTCATTGCCAATGATCTGTTATCTTCTGAATGCAGAAAAAAATTGAGGGCTGACTGATTTGGGTGATAGCTGTTTTGTGTTGCAGTTTTTACAGTCTAAAGATGAACTAAAGCGATAAAGGCTATATGTTTGTCTGCTGGAACTGATTTTGGTTTATTCAACATCATTTATTTTTCTAGCCTGTGTGTCTTGTGCACATTGAACTTTTTTCCTTATTTTTTATCTGATAACAATTTATTTAATTTATTTAGTTTTCACAATAACTATCATATGCTTTTGCGGTTCAATTTGAGCCTAGAGACCGTGGAAAACGCTGCACGTGCTGTCTGCCAATAAACAGCGGTCACTTGATGATTCTTGCTCAGTCTTAATTTTCATTCCTAATATACAATGTTGTTAAGAATCATTAAATAGCAACAAAAAAAAAAAACTGCAATTAATTAATGTTATCAATTATCTATTGAATGGGGATGACTGTTACACTCCACATATCTGTTTTGCATTTTTTAGGGTGTATACAGCATGCAAAAATTGCAAGAAAAGTGCTGCAAAACCTGAAAAATTTTGCTTGCTTTGAGAAGCTTGGGACCAAAATGCTGCAGTTTAGCTTTATGGCTCTCTCCTTTGTCTGACCATATAGTTTTTTTTAGTTATCTAATGAGCATATTTTAGTTACTGCAATAGAATTCCCACTTCATGTAATATTTTTCTGAAATCTTCACATAGACCCCATGGTTCGTATTGGGCAATACCTCTCACTCTTAATCGCAGCCACAACATTTATTGCATATAAAGATATAACAGCCTAAATACTCATAACACAGCTTTTACTCCCTAAAATTTGTATCTGCATCAATCCCAAAAATCCATAGTTGGTTGGGCTCCAGATTTCAAGACAGTTTAAATCTAATTCTGATTTTTTTTCTCTTCCTGCTCCAGCGGCCGTCAGATCCCACCCTCATGCTGAATCACAGCACAACGGATCACTCTTTGAAGTGACACACTCCAATTTGCGTAATAAAGAAAAAAAAAATCACAGAAGCTGTTGTGCAATATTTTTGAAATCATTTCCATGTTTTTAAGTAACTCACCCATTGAGCAACACATCGGATGACAGAATGATTCTCGTGTGTCTGACTGGGAACAAGCATAATCCAACTTAAGAAGAAACTATTTGTTTAATATTTAGGTTAATATAACCATTTAAACCCTTAGAATAATATCTCCTACAATGAAATGCCAACATCTGGCACAAGTTTGGGGAATGTTAAAGTAAATTTGCACACATTTTTTTATTTTTTCCCCCTGCTTGTCTACAGCTTTTTAGCTCACCTTAAGTGTGCAAATAAATAAACAGAGGTGGATATTTTGTCCACTATGGTGACAGACCTCCTCTATTACACAGCACATTTAAACAGATGGGAGTAGCCTCAGCAATTACGCATATACAGTGTTATTTTGTGTCATAATTTGTTTACAATTTGAAGGAACACAGAGAACTGGGTCTTGGCAACAATCAGACCTAAGGACATAGGAATGATTTTAGTATCTGTGTTTTCATAACTTAATCTATAAACAAGTCAGTTTTCTAAAAACTCTGCATATTCCTGCAAGAGATTTATGTCAAGGGCAAAACACGTTAACTGCATCTGAGCACAGCCGAGTAAATTTTGTAGTTAATGTCCACGTGGAAACACAGAAATAATCTTAATAATCCCAAGTATGTCTTTGCACATTCTTCTAGGCTACTTCTAGGAGAAAGTGTAAACATTGGCCTTTTTTTTTTGTTGTTTGTTTTCACCATCTACATTTTGTAACAGCGTTTTACAGGTGAGGAAAAAAAAAAAACGGGGGCTCAAGTGAAACCGCTGTTTTGTGTGTCCGAGCTGATTCCAGGCTCTAAATCATTTGAATATTAGAACGCAGGCCAGCAATGAAAAATTTCCTCCTTGCTTAAGAGAAACCTCTCCCCTTAATTCTGAAGAACAACTGTGAAAGAAAAAAGGGAAAAGAGAGAAAGAGACGGCAAGGTTATAAAGTAAAATGGGCCAGGAAAATGAGACGGATGCATTGTAAAGCTTAAACTAGCATGGGATGGTAACTGTCTGTGCTGGCGAGGTAAGCTGCAATTACAGCTTAATTAAAACTCCAATTTAGGCCAAGACGGAGTGGATTAGTGAGGCAGTGGACGGTCGGCTAAATGTGCACAAATGTAAATGTGCTACAGTCGCGTGTAAGTCACTGCTGCTGTGCAACAAGAGCTTTTAAGCCTCCATCCAAAATACTTCTGGTTTCAGTAGCGACGCTAAACAAACTGATCTAAAGTAGTAGGTGCACATGTGCCATATGTATTGGCTGGATAGCAGAGGAGAGAAAAATGATAGATGGAAGGAGAGGAAAGAGGAGAAAGTGAGGGAGAGAGGTCTAAGCCTGGCAGACAAAGTGGCTGCAGCCCACATAATGTAATCTAGGCTTCCTAGAACTACCGCTCGCTTGTCAAGGCTAAGGTCAAATGCCTGACATTATCAAGACACAACAAAGACACTGCTATCGGTCCGCTATACTGTATCCTTCTCTACACTGTGCATGCATGTGTGTGTGTGTAGGTGCATGCACGTCACTGCACGTCTGTGTGTTTAAGCACACAAGGAGGATTATTTTGATCTTGCACTGGGTGCGATAGGGAAATTACACAATGGCATCTATGTAATAGTGACGTATGTGAACCTCAACAGCTGGTGCGTGCACACACATTCAGACACACGCACACACGTAGGTACCCAAAGCCCATTTTTAGCAAGTTATAATCCAAATGGTCGTAAATATGCCAGACTTGACAAATCGGATGCTCGTTTGCATTTCAGGTGACACCCATGTGCTGTTCATAAGCTGGTAATCCAACACTGCTGGTGACAGGTAGACTCAAGTTTATGATAATTAGATCCGATGAATTGTGATGCAAAAACAACAAGGAGCCACAATCAGCGCTGAGTAAGAGATATCACCATAGGGAGTATGTGCATTTACATCTCTCTTGTCCTTAAAGGATCTTCCCTCCTGTTGTAAAAAAAAAAAAAAAAGCTTCTCTCTCTCTCCCTGCGTTTTTTCATTTGCTCTCTCTCCATAACTCTACCGTTCTGCCACTCTTGTGTTTCTGTGAAGTGGCTGAAAGAGGGAAGGAAAAGAGAGATACAGATAGTGGGAGGGGGAGGCATGGAGATAGAAAAAGAGGGGAGGGTATGTGAGTATGTGGGGGAGGGTAGCACTGCAATCTCTGGCAGAGATAGCTGTGACGCACTATTAGACACACACATGCACACACACACAAACACACACACTTGTGCTGTGGCATTCAGGGAACCACGGTGGGTGGGGTGAGGAGGGGGTGAGGAGATAATGTAGCCCGAGAGGAGAGGCTTGTCTGGGCCACAGAGAGAGAGAGACAGAGAGAATCCTGCCAGAGCTTTCAAGCAAAATCTGCATGTTGATTTGATTGCGCGAATCAGCGATCAACCAACTGTTGGGGCGATACTGAACATTTTTCTGATTATTGGTTTTGTTATTATTTAATAGCCGATTGCTGATACAATAAATGTGTTACTTTGGTTCTCCCTGTGTGTAGTCAACCTGTGGTCTTAAGCAATGTCCTGATTAGTTACACGTCACTAGTTACAGCCATTTAATACTAAAAGCTATCGTTTACAGACAGGGACAGATGAGCGCATTTGCAAAACAAAGCAGGTCTGAAGGTAAGACAGCACATGCTGCTAAAGTTGTATTAAACACCACAATCTTACACAATCACATTAAAAATGCCGTAATTATTCCCTTGTTGGTGTCAGTGCACCTCAACTAAGGCTATCAGTAAAAGGTTTGCTGTGCCTCTTAACGCTATCTGGAGAACCCATAACGTCTTTCTAAAGTAAGATAGACAGACACGTTCGTTTTATTAGCCTACTTTGGCGCTGATGCAGCCATCCCTCTCTCCATCCTGGTGTCCCAACCACAACCCTATCTGATTGGTCATGTTTCACTAGTAACAGCTAATCATCACTGAAAGCTACTGTTCACAGACAGGGACAGATGAGTGCATTTGCAAAGCAGAGCAGCTCTGAAAACAAGACTGAAGTTGTAATAAAAACCACAAAATTGCACAGTTTAATTGTTACACTGGAAAAATCCAAATTATTCACTTGTTGGTATCCTCTTAGCCTATGGCTAACAATACCTGGAGTATGAGTAACCTCTCTCTAGACCAAGATGAACTTTGTGGTAGAGACACAACCTGCAAAAACTGAACAAGAAGCAGAGCGATCACCACAAATCAGGACATCACATTACAACGGTTAGTGGCTAAGTTCTGAGGCAACCACAGATGACCCAAAAACAGTGTCTCAATAACAACAACAAATAATGCTTAAAGATTTGGCCCTTTAGAGTAAAAAATGTGGCCAAACAGTGAAAGATTAAGAAAACACAGATGAACAGCAGATGGAACAATAGAAGATAAACTGTGTCCAATCATTCAATCTCACAGTAAACAGAGGAGAGCGTCCTGGCATCACGCTCTGACGTCATCAAACCTATTTTTATTGTGAATATTCAGCTATGACCATCTTTATTAATGAAGTAACCCACTTACATCGCATGCTGTTCATTTATGAGGGTCATTCCATCTCAAATCAGTGGGGCGTTCTGCTCAACCATGTCGGATGTGCTGGAAAGGTTTTTTTTATCACAAACTTATAATGGATATTAGAAATGGAACCTTTGAAATCTTACATAAATATGTCAAGTGCTTTTCAAGACAAATTTTTAAAAGCAATTGCCCATCAAATTTTTGCGACCAAGTATTTTACATTAAAAATTATTCTATGTGTTTTGTTTCGTATCATTGTGACATGCAGCTACATATGCTTCAGAACATATCACCAGCTGACGTCTGCGTTATTAATTTTTTTGGCAACGTGTGCTCTAAGATCTGAATTTTCGTGACGGCTTCAAATATTTTTTTTATATTTCAACTCCCACATAACCAAAAACTATCAAAGGCATGATGAGAAATAACAGTAACAAACTTCAGGCTTTTATTTGTATTAGTTCCTGAGATACTGCTGTTCCAACAAACGTGTTAAAAGTGGGTTGATAGGCAATTCTTTAAAACATTATATTGGAAATTACTAAGTATTTCGAACTGAAATTTCAAAAATATCTTTAGAAATGTCAATATTTTATGCTATAAAAATTCAGGGGAATCAGACATGGTGAAGCAGAAATTGCTCTAAATATTTATATTTTTCTAAATATTTGACGATGTGAAATTTAATCACTGTTTAAATGTATCGGCTAAGGGTAGTTCTTGATCACCAATAATCTGTACCTGCATCTACCCTGAAAAGGGCATATTGGTTGATGGGTTGTTAAAAGAAACTAAGATTAAGAAACAAAAGTGCAAATGGATTCCCTGTCTCAGACACACACACACACACACACACAGTTTCCGGTCTGTTGCCTGTAACTGCGGGTGGAGACGGGTAGAAACGGGAAGGAAGTCCAATCTGAACTTCCTCACGCATTCGGACCCACCCCAACGACACAGCGTGGCAAGTTATCTTACAATCACACCCACCCACCCACGTACACATACACACACGCACACACACACTCCAGGTTTCTCACCAATAGTGCGGCGTAGCTCCTCACACTGGCTGATGTGTGGGAGTTTGAGCATCTCCTTCCATTTCTTGCTGCGACCGTTCCTCTTCCCTCCACCACCTGAGAGACACGAGCAGAGATTCCCCGTCAGCCCCATCAATCAAGTCACTGTTTCAACATCGCACTTGGAGCCTCTAACAGCTTCCACTCAGTGGCATTTTGAACACTAGAATAAGAAGAGAGTGTGTGTGTGTGTGTGTGTGTGTGTGTGTGTGTGTATGTCGGAGCATGTTGACCTTGCTGTGACCAGAGGCCGGGACAGCTGGTCCGTCTCAGCAGTCGCCTCTATGCATCATGACAGAGCATGTGGTGAAGAATGTCGACAGCCTCGAAGATACGCACACACACATGCACACAGTGGAGCTCAGTCGAACCAAACATAACTTTAACGTATTATCTTCCACACAAATGCACTCTGTGGTGTTGGCCGGTGTCCTTAGCGAAACAGATGATCCTGATGTGAGGGGTGAACAACCTCCAGGCTCTACAGCACACACTGTCGCTCCCTAGATTTTACTGAAAAGCTCATTCCAACAGCAGCAGGGGCGTGTGTGTGTGTGTGTGTGTGTGTGTGTTAGTATGTGAGCATCAAGAAATAATCTCAGCAGGGGCGAACTGAGGTATTTGCAGCTTAAGGCTGAAAGAGTATCGAAGCTTGAGAAGTCGAGTATTCTGACGAGATGCTGCTCTGATTTACACTTTTGCAAACACATGTTCAAAGAGCCGAGAGGAAATTGTATATTATTGCGTGAATGCAGTTATGATAAAAACTGATGATCAGCACCTTAACATGTGAGAACAAACATTTGCCAATTACAATTTGCTTTTATTATATTAAATAAGTTAGCTACCTATAGGGCTGCAAGGTGGAGCGGTGGTGACCATCGTTTGCTCGCAGCAAGAAGGTCGTCGGCTCGCGTCCCGGTAAGGACACCTGGGATTTTTCTGCATGGAGTTTGCATGGGTTCTCTGTGGGTTCTCTGGCTTTTTCACCATTTTCTGACACTTCAGAAACCAAACAACTAATTGATCAAACAAGAAAATAATTAAAAATTATCGATCAACAATTGTTGGTTTCAGCCCTGATATGAACCTAGCCATCTCCTATCATTAATATGTGACCTTTGCTGCATGTCATGCCAATCACCCATCATGTCCTATGAGGCTCTACACTGTCTGTCATCAAATAAAATAAAACGCAATGAAAATCCTCTCCTTTGGTAAATTATTTTGATATGAGTCAACCTAAATCCCAAATTTGCTGATTTACATTTACAGATTTAAAATAAAATGCAAAAGTGGATGTTGTGTTTAGATACCAAGCAGGGCCCGACCCATTTATTGGCTGGCTGATATGGCTCTTTTCAAAATGCTCATCAGCCGGAGTTTTGCCAACTAAACGCCGATATAGTCTTAATTTCTCATAAAACAGTAAATGCTGTTAAGTGTCACAGTCATTTTGTAGAATATGATTTAGTAAAAAGACCAATATTCTCCAAGGCAAGAGCGTGTAAAAAAAAAAAAAAAAACTTCAGTAACACAACGAAACGCTCCATCTTACAGACATATTTGTTCGGAAAACTTTTTTTTTTTTTTTTACTGATGCATACTATGTTTAATGCTTTGTTGCATGTTTTTGTACTTGAAAATTCCTCTCTGTTGTGAAGTTAAACAAATACTAAAAGACAAAGTATTGTAAAACAGTAAAATGTTCTGCCTGTGATTCATATCGTTGTTGTTGTAAGCATTAAGGGACAAAAAAAGAAGCTGTTTTATTCATTATGTATTTTTTAAATTAATCGGTTATCAGAAATTTTTTTTGTGCCAAATATCGGAATCAGCATCGGCCTTAAAAAATCCATATCGGTCGAGCCCTAATACCAAGTGGCCAATTTCACAAAATATCACAAAACATTTTTACTCAGCAGAGGTGCAAAGCTTGGTGTGTCAATAAAAGGTAAATGCAACTGAGCGTAATGGCAACAGGTTCAGCGAATGGGAATGTTACAAGAATTCTTCAAAGACCACACAGCTGGAATATTATTTGTGCTTTCAATCACTACAAAAGAAGTTCTGAGATTCCAAGTCCTAAAAAAAGTTAGTGCTACCAATTTGGGGTTTTATTATTTCCTTAAAAACAATAAAAGACAGGACACATCTGGTTTCTGAGTCAGCGGATTGAAACCCTCAACTATCTTCTGAGTTGATAAAACAAGCTCAAGTGAACGATGCGGACTGACAGTTTGACGGCGGCATGGAGGGAAATCCTCTGCCCCAAAGTTCACGAGACACTAGCTGGTCTAGCAGTGACATGCGACAGCTTCAACACAAACACACACAGGGGAGTCAAACACCTGCAAACCAACACCTTAACAACACAGTGTGCACGCTACCATCGCTTCAAAACACATGCTCATCCCTCTTCTTCTGCAACAAATTGCATTTTTTTTAACCCAATCATACTTTTCAGTCCCACACTCAAGCTGAACATAAACAACCAACAGCCAGAAAAACGGCAGATTTTTTTGACCGTGTCGCTACTTGAACAGCTACGCAGCAGCGATATGAACTTGTTGATGTTGTGCAGCTTTTAGTATCCCACTGGTCTCATGTTGTTGAGGACAGGTATGCTGACAAACCTGTTGTGGGACTGCGGGGCATAGACACACAAACATAACACAGATGTAGACATGTAAGCGCACACACAAAAATCAACTGTCATTGCAGAAAAACTGAATCCACTAAAGAAGGAGGGCGGGAAAGACTCCCGTGTGTTTTGATGGCCAGTTGCATCTGGCTCAAGAAATCTGTGGATACACTTGAGCCAAAAACACGGGATGATTGATGAACACGATCAAACCTGCTCTGCGAAAAGTAACAAATTGATTTACTTCTTCCATGTCTGTGGCAAATACTGCAAGAAGGAAATTTGGGCATATCAGAAGTGGCAATTTTTTTTATAAATATACTGCACAAATGACCTAAACTTGAGGTCAAATAGAATCAAAGAAAATTCAAGTCACAGGAGAATTGAAAAAAATGACTATCTAGACAAAGATACCGACAAGAAAAGTTAATAGCAAGCTATGGAGGAGAGTGTGTGCGCGTGAGTGCCTGTCAGAGCCGGCTGGGCCACCCCACCCTGTTTAATGTCACTCTGACGTCAAAGCCATGTGTGCAGGCCCTTAATGCAGACAGGATGGAGCGAGTATTTATTTAACTTTGGTTCTCCCCTCTGAGAGAACGGGGCCCTCCATAAACACCGACTTCAGAGCAGCTTCGCTCAATCACGGCCGAGCTGCAGCCAGCAGCTGAGATCATCACGCTAGATGTTGGGTCGGGCTGGCGCATGTGCGACGGGATTCAAAAGCTGGAACGCGCTGAGAACAGACGGATGTCAAAACAGGGAGACGCGACGCTCGACTACGAGGATGCACATTCCTTCCCATGAAAAAAAAACAAAAAACAGACAGCAGCGGCAGCGTCATCCTGGTTGCGCACAAGTAAGATGTGCAACATGTCACCAGCGTCTCTGGTTTGAGTTAAACCAGCCACAATAGCCTCAGATCAGCCCCGTCTCCATATCCTCTTATGTTTCCTGTCACTCGCTACTGTCAACTATCCAACAAAAGCAAAATGCCACAAAAAAAGGACATAAAAAAGCTACTTTGGCCACAGATGAATAGATGCCCCAGTGTAGCACTTTATGTAACCATGTCTTCCCTGTTGATAAAAGCCAACAGTCTGTCTTTTCTTAAAGGGGACGCTGATGGAGAATTCATCTTTTATAATGCAACGACATTTTAAAACATCACAAGACAACCGCTTTCCATCATGTTTACCACTTTACAGTAGACATACCAGCAGCAGTGTGTTTTACTTGAAGTGTACTTTGGTGATCCTCCATTTTCAAGTCTGACTGGTTAGACGCATTTAGAAAAAAAACGGGAGCAGAATATTTTCTTGAAGTTCGCGTTTGTGTGTCTCCGACTGTCTGCAGTGACTTATGACTCCATTAATGAACGTAAATTCGCCGGGTCTTTTCTGTCTCTGCTTTGTCTCCGACCCTGTGATCAGTGGCAGTTTTTTCCTCGTAGTGCACGTGTAGGCCAAACGCCATCCCAAATATGCCCCCTTCGCTTTCCTCCCTCTTTTATCTCGAGTGGGAGACGGAGCCAGACTCAGGGTCACACAGTGGACCATGACGGTATCATCTCAGGACGAATCCCCTCACCCAGACCACATCCTACAGCTTTCATACGAGTCTAATTTATATTTTCTTAATGCCAGTTCAAGTGGAGTTCACGACTTCTTTCACAACCAAAAAGCTGAAGTGGAAAAATAAAGTAGGCTTTAGGGGAGGAACCCTTGTGTGAAGAATACAGTGGGAGTGTTTACATGGACTTCCTGGTTACGATTTTTGTGTTGATGCATGTAAACATATCCTGATTTCAAAAACTTGGATAAATCCTTATTCCAGATTTGATAAACCTGATTATAGCTCGAGTGGTTTCTGACTGCTCCCGGCTACCTGCACAGGTGCTGCTTAAGCCATTTGTATCGAAACTGATTCTAATACTGTTGTTTCCTCTGGTCTCGTTACTGTTTAACTCTGCCGCATAACTGGAAAAAGGATCTCAAACTTGCAGCCCGTGGGCCAATTGAGGCCCACCGGACGACATTTTGTGGCCCCCTACTTGACATCAAAGTCAGAGGTTTGTCTAAATAATGTTACAGGGGCACTGCGCCCTCATACTCCCGGCTTGCCCCTCTTACCAAATGCCGATTGAACCCTAGGAACACTTGGGCCATGTTCTTACATGCTGCCGTACAACATGCAATCTTCACGTAAACGATCTTCTCGGCCGTGAAAATATCCCAGCACCATCACAAGACAATATATCTGATCATCAAAAATGTTATGACTTCAGCATATTCCGACTGCGGTAGATACACCGTGAGATGGTTCAAAAAACAATTGAAATTGGTGTTTTCCATGCCGAGGCGCCATATTGCTTTGGTGCTAGCTGCTCTCGCAAGATTTCATATCGGTTACATGC